TATGAAAAGACGATCATTTTGCAAGAAAAATATTGATGTGTTTATACACCAACAAGATTTTAATAATACTTGAATTTTACCAATTTTATATCCGAACTCAAACGGAACTTCAACTGCCTCATCCCATTCTCCGTACTCAGGTTTCTCCATTCCATCACTACATTATTCATCGGATTTTTTAGTTGTACAAGTGAAATCTGTAAACGATGGATATTGTATAGAAAATATAGAATTTGTACAGCGATATTGCTTATAGGTATCGCTTTAATGTAGAAAACACTTTCCTTTCCATAAATGACAAATTTGGAAACATTTTGCAATAAAATACTCGTCGGAATGATATGTCCTAAATGTTTTACACTAAATTGTATAATAAAGGGTATATATTTTTGTGAAATTTTGTTGATATTTGAATGATGTAAATTCAGAAATGAATCATAGTTTAACCAAAATATGTAGATTCATTGCTCACCGGTTCCAACACAGGCGTGAAATCTTGATAGAATTGTACTATTCGCATATTAATTTCTTCACCAGGCTTGTAAATTTTTTTGTCCGTCTCTATTAGCATGAGGCGGGAATTTTGAGTAATTTCAACGTTTCTCTCGTCATACACTACATCGTCAGGGTATTTAGCAAATTTGATCGTAAGTCGAATCTTCGCATCCGTTGTTTTTATCATCGGAACATTCAGTTTCATACATGCTTTAGTACCTGTTTCAACATAACAGTTTACTTACTGTATTATTTTGTAAACATAACCGGTTTAAACATTTCTAGAATTTCCTGATATAATATGAAATAAGTCTATTGCCTCAGCATCTATCAATTATCGGTTAATTAATCTTAACCTTGCGTGAAACATTAGTAAGTACGCGGTGATTGGAAAGACAAAAATATATCATGTTCAAAGTAATTATAAAATATCACGATAAATTGAACATCAGACTGCGATATTTATCAATTTTTACATGTTTATACATTCATAAATTTTTCGATAAATATATAGTACTGTACTTCAAAAATGACTGATTGAAAAACATAGAGGGACAGACGTTGAATGATAGCTATTTTATAGAAAAATTTGCACATGTTGGTGCGAGGATTTTTAAATTGTCACATTTTTTTATGCTTTGTATGTTGCAATGAATGCTGAATATAGTGAAGTTCCTGTAACCACTCTGTTTGTTTGTCTGCACCACGCATAAGCCGCAAGTTTGGGTCTTATGACATTCGGAAAGTAATTTGAGGGGCACTCCGACAAAATCTAACGAAAGGAACCTGTTACTGATGTCGAATCGATAAAACAACCGTGTTTTGGCACCACACGTTGTTAAAAGCTCTATAACTCATCGCTGTCGACAACACGTGGTTGTCACTTATGTGAGTAGCCGTGAAATCAGCAACAATTATGTTTTGTATAGTTTTCAGTAGTGTCAGACACGTTTAATCGTTCGGAACTACTTTAAAGTATTTACATCCCATTCTTGCTCTACATATTTATACTAGGTACTCGAAATTTCAAATTTATACTCGAATTCGCGTGAGACACCTGATTTACAGTGCCACTAATATATTATACTTGTTTACCTGTTGTTAAATTGTAGCTGGCAGACGAAATTACTTTCTTTTGGTGTAATAATTCGGTAGCAATATACGCTGGAGGTTCTACGTTTTGCAAAGATATGCATCCTGTTGTATTTCCACCAATTGGAAGTTTGTGTGGTATTGAGAACACATAGCCCCTGGGAACAGTACAACATTTGGCTTGGTTTTTAAACTATCTACTATTTCGACGATAAATTTAAAAATCGAGAGATCCATAATTTATTTGAAAATTTGATTTATTTATTTAATAATGTATATGATCCTCCACTGTTACATTAATTTTTCAAACTTATTTTTAAGTTAACAAACTTTCTTAAGCCATTTTTATGACACAAAACAATGAAAAGTTAAGTCTTAACACCAGTGACAGTGTCATTTATGCGCGAGTTAAATGGTTTCATAAATTAAGTTTACAAATACGATAAAAGTTTAAACGAACAATGATCAATTACCGTTTCTTCTCCGAATTTTCTGCATTGCATTGTAAAAATCCCACTGAACAACAAAGCAGGACAAATATCATTAATTTATCCATTTTGTTTGGTTAGTCTCACTTTGTCTAGCGTTTATTTTTGATAATCCGTGCGCGCATACATGCTCTTCACGTGTTACTCAAATTCGCAGCTTCCTTTCACGTTTGTTATACAAATTTTGTATAAAAAGTGATTGAGAACGTGTCGATACGCGGTCGACACGCTGAACACAGACTGAAAGCGCGATATTCGTACACTCCCTCTTATATCCTTCTGAAACTCTAACAAGTAGAAGCAAAAGAACAAATTCAATATATTTAAGAATTTGTGTTTTCTAAAGTTAGTAAATTAAAAAATTTCTAAGTTCGCATGTTTCCGAGCCACTAAATTTGAGAATGACTATTTATAAAAATTCCTACGTTGGATAATTGTCATATAACTTCTGCATTTTATCAGTTTGTAAAATCAAAAATTGAGAAATGTTTTAACTCGAAAATCTAAATGATCCGATACTTAAGAATTTATGTTATTAAAAATTTTTCAATTAGAACGCTTTTAAATGTGCAGCTTAATAAGCCTTACATTGAAGTTCTTGTGATCTTGAAAATTGTAAATTAAATATTTACAAAGACTGTAAACTTGAAAATACCTAAGACTGAGAATTTGTGATATAGGAAATTCACAAATGTCTAATCTTTAAAATACCTAAGTTTGAGAATTTGTGATATAGGAAGTTCACAAATGTCTAATCTTCTAAATTTGAAAATTTCTAAATCACTCAGTTTGAAAACTGATATATTTGAAACATTAAAAGGTTGTAAATTTCTTAATTAGGCATTTTGTAATCGGAAGGTTCAACAAAAATTGGTATAATTGCTTGAGACTAACTTGGAAGCAATGTACTGAACAGAGAGAATATTAAACAGGTTCGGTAGGTTCGTGTTATATCATTTTTTTATTTTGTATCTGACCGAGACTTTTCTGATGGGTACTGAACGATTTGAAGGTAGCGGATTCCGATTAAAATACTCTTTTACCTTCTTTTTCATATTTTTCTGTGTTTTGCGCAACCGACCTTTGTCACAAGAATGTGAAATCTATAAAACATTTCTTAATATACGCCGCAGTAATCAAGTGTCGTTATCGTTGAACGTAATTTATCGAAGCAGGAAAATAAAAGTTCATGTAATGTGACAACTTTTATCTAAATACAAGATAGTTATTATTAAACGGTACAGAAACTTTTTTTTAATGAAGTGGTTAACAAATATTATTTTGTGATCTTTCTCATTTAACCATTTACAAGGAGTGGTTACTGCAAATGATTAGTCACAATTTTTGTTAGTTGAATGTTACGCGATGAATAGAATAAAAGACATTGTAATACAATTTTAGTAGGACAAGTACAATTAGTATCAGTAGTATATACTAGTGCATATCTACATTAAATAAAACTGGTATAGCATAAAGGGTGGCTGAGTAAGAACACATTTTTATCATCTTATTATTTATTAACAAATTGACAGTTATATTATTGTAATTTTATTTAAATCAACAATTAATTTGAGTTAGTATCAGACATAAATGGCGATGTCTCCACACTAACGAGTAATAAAACGCAAGACTGATGCTTAAATGTGTGAACTTACTGGTTGATTTTACTGTATATATTTAGATATGTTAAAAATTGCAGTTTTTGTACATTAATCTTCAGGAATAGCAATCTGGCCAAAGAAGCAAAAAGAAGAAGGGAAATTGCTGTTGCCAGGCATGATAACATGTAGTCTCCTTGAGCGATTTTTATAACATGTATACTCTTCTCAACCTTGAACAGGTCAAGCACCGTTGTCAATTGCTCGACTATGCAATGGTTCTCATCCCTTTTCGCAGTCCTATTTTGGTATTTTAATACTTTGAGAAAGAACATTTTATTTTTATAGATCAGGTGTAACAAAAATTCTTAAACTCCATATGTTGGGTTACAATATCGTTTATGTATTTCTCCAATAGAAACATATACAAATACTAATATAGATTGGTAATATAATAATAATATCAGTAATGAAACAAGTAAACTGGTTGAAAAATCCGATAACATTCTAATTAGATGAAAAAAGATTATTAGTATCGAAGTATGTACAATAATGCACACCAATGTCCATTCTATCTGCGGACATCCATCACTCATGGCCGATGTAATTTAATATTCATACGTAAATAAAATAACTTTGTTCACAAAAATATGCACTGACAAATTTTTCAACATTTCTTCATCAAATAATTGTCGTACAATTCCTTTGGTTTTTCATTTCGGAATGAAATTCGAAATTAGATTTTCTCTGCTTAGTTTAAGTGGGGACCTATCTTAAACGCTTTAAATCTTTTAATTCTATTATTTAGAATTATTTTCCGATTTCATTTTCATACACGAAATATAATTATTTCTAATTTGATTAATTTATTAATTGTGATACAATTATGTACAATTATCTTTTCATTTTGAAATGTAATTTCGATTTTCATTTCGAAATCCTAGCTTCGTTATAAAATACCAAAAATGTAAATTATAAAATAGCAACGCTTTGTGTTGGACAACCATAATTACTTTTCGCCCATTTCACGATGAGCAATCATAGTCGAATCGATTATTAATTTCTGTGTAACAATAAGAATAGGTTGTCAGGAACTTATGTCATTCATACCAGTCGACTATGTATATTCGACACTCATACTGAAAGCATTAATCCTTTGCACTCGAGGGTATTTTCGTTGTCGACGGGTAGCAACTCCAAAATTTTCCAAAAGTTTCATGAGCACTTTTGTTATTATTTTTCTTTTAATTGATCTATAATCTTTATTTCCCGTTTCAGTACATATGTCTCGTGTTCGACACTATTTTAATTAAAAAATATTTATTTCAATTTGTTAAACCGAATGGTAAGTTGCTTTCTGAGTCCAAAGGATTAAACGTTACATGATTTTATCAGTTCAACCATAGACAGAGGATGTCCTTGTACTTATGTGCATTGAACCGTTTCTTTACTTGAACATGTAGATCGTGCTTCTGCCACTTTACAAGGCACACCGCTCGTTGGGGGCAGGCCATATATATGGTAGGAACCGTTCAGGCTCTGTTTTTGTTCCTGGGATGTGAGAAAGTCGGTATCCATGTTTATGATCAATGCTAGACTTGCGGCTGCAAAAAGATATCATTTTTATATGAGGTATCGTAGAACATATGTGTTATTTCCAAACTTCCAAATTTCCAAGCTTTCAAGCTTCCAAATTTCTAAATTCTGAAATTCCAAATTTCTAATTTCTAAATTTCCCAATTCCTAAATTCTGCAATTCCAAATTTCCAAATTTCCAAATTTCCAAATTTCCAAATTTCCAAATTTCCAAATTTCCAAATTTCCAAATTTCCAAATTTCCAAATTTCTAATTTCCAAATTTCCCAATTTCTAAATTCTGCAATTCCAAATTTCCAAATTTCCAAGCTTCCAAATTTCCAAATTTCCAAATTTCCAAATTTCTAATTTCCAAATTTCCCAATTTCTAAATTCTGCAATTCCAAATTTCCAAATTTCCAAGCTTCCAAATTTCTAAATTTCTAAATTTTTGAATTTCTAAATTTCTGAATTTCTGAATTTCTGAATTTCCGAATTTCTGAATTTCTAAATTTCTGAATTTCTAAATTTCTAAATTTCTAAATTGAAATCCCCATATTTTCCAAATACTTATTTGATATTATACTTATAATGTTACCAATAAAATAATTTACTATTCTCTCAAATATCCATGCACTAAGTTTATACAGCAGACTCTCGTTATATTGCCATCTTCGCGCAGACTAATACTCTACCACCTAAGACTATACGTATATGTATACTAAGACTATACCTATATACAGTATGTATACAATATGTATAGTCTAAAACTGTAATATCGGTTCTGTGTTATAATGATTTAATTATCAATATTAATTGAATACTTACGTGTATCTAGCGGGACACAGACACAGTTTGGACTTAAATAAAACTCGACTGCGGATCGAAGACGTTGAACCTCACGTGATGCATGCAGATCCAATAACATTCTTGTTTTTCGCAATCGTCTGATTGCCGCCTTCACCACGCTCCTTGCCGAACAATAAATTTCTGTGAAATCTGATGGAAGACTCTCCATACATACAGGACAAAACTGTTCTGCTCCTGTTGGCGCTAAATAAAAAACAGTAAATAGTAAAAACGTTGATAGCATAATTATTATAGGACGTAACGTGGTCAGAAGGTTAGGTTAGGTTAGCAAATATTCCTGTCTATGTTCTAAAAGTGTAAGTATGATTAAATGATCTTGGTTTATAATGATTTTTCTTGTAAAATTATAATTAATATGATAGGTAATAGGATTTTTATTACATTTGTTAGATTTGAAACTTTTCACCCAAATATTTGAAATTTACTTACACGCATCGTCCGTTTCGATGTCTGTCGTATTTCTTATTTGACTGTCAAACTCCTCCTGTAAATAATTGTGCCTTTCATACTAAATTATATAGATAAACGATAAACATACAGTATGTCGAGAAATTCAATTTTGAAAAGTTGATTAATATTGTTTCACTATATCTCCTTTTATATTTCAGCTAAGAGTACTTGTTTGCAGTATAGAGTACTTGCATAATGCAGTAAAAAGCATTTTATAGTAAACTTGTTAATAATTCTGCTCTTGCCGCATTGCACATGAAATAAAGTTTCAAAGTATTTAACTTCAAGTTACGCTCTTAGCCCATTTTCGGGGAAAGTGCAGAGTAGTTGACATTTTAAACAATTTCCTATCAAAATCAAAATGTACAAGGAAAATTAAGGTCCTAGTTAATATTAATTAAATAGTAGTAATTGTGCAAAGCGTTCGATATCGACAGCGTTAAGTATTTACATAACAGACTGAAAATACTTACGTTTAAATACCAATTTTACAAAAACCAGTCTGCATTTACCCCACTTCACCTTGTACCTTTTATGATGCCATTAGTACAATTTGATGTCGACTATACCTGTACAGGTTCCTGTTCTCCCCATTGTACCGTTTGATCCTCGATACCAAGAGTCGGAGTAAGATCGGACAAGCCATTGGTAGCTATGGTAGTCTCCAATTTGTAATCAATCGTCTCGGGTTTAACGTAAACTGGTACTGGTCCTTCCATTCCTTCCGGAATGGCTACTTCTTGTTTCGTATCAACGAATGATGAATTTAATTCTATCTCTACCGGCTGCCTCATCGATTTTAATTTGAATGATACATCTGTTATCGGTTGTTCGTCGATCGGTTCCGCACTACTGCACATTGAAGGGACTTTATAGTTCTGCAATTATTCACATATGTTCGAATCATGGTTACACTCTCTTCGAGTACTTGCCATTGGTGTAAATAGAATTCGTTTTCATGGTGGGCCAGAGGCAACAGCTTTGGTTTAATCAGAAAAGAAATGGGGAATTTGGTAAGATTGGATATATTGATATTTGGGCATTCGGAAATTTGGGAATTGGAAATTTGAGACTTTGGGAAGCTGGAAAGTCGGAAACTTGCAAATTTCGAAGTTCAGAGATTTGAAACTTCTTAATTTTGAAAAATACAATATTTAGAACTTTTGAAATGACAAAGTTTAATAATACAAAAATTTGAAAATATCCAAACTTGAAAGTTAATTGAGAAATTTGGTAACCCAAAAATTTCAGAATTTCAAGACTTGTAACTTTCAAATCTTTTCGCTTTCTAATACGCGAAGGATGAAATGTGTCCTGCACTCTAGTTACACCAACGGTTGCACTTGTATATTAAACAATCAGTGAAAACTCACGCTGTACACCATAAGTTCTTGTTGATAATAATCATAAAGTATCACATTCGCTGGCTCAAGATAATCGACAAAGTTTTCCCTTATTATCGTGAAGGATACACATGTTTTTTCATCAAATAATTTATCGAAGTAAATAACAACGACGTCGTTATTTTCCTCGAAACGTTTCACTCCTGTAATTTAAACATTATCTTCGATTATTATTCTTCTACTTCTACGATTGGGCTAATCAGAAACTTCTACAGACGTGAATCAGATTATGCGATCAGAAATTTGTTAAGTAAACCTTTATCGATTAAAATATACAGGGTGTCTCACAACTATTAAAGGTCCCTGAAATGGAGTGTAGCTGAGGCTGACGTGATTCTGAATAAGATTTCCCTTTGCAAAAATGGGATTTGAAGCTTCGTGTTTGAACTATTAAGTAAAAACACGGACCAATCAGAGCGCGAGGATTATGCATTTCCAGACGCGAGAACGGCAGCTTTGGATAACGCGTAGTTATCCAACGCGTGGTAATCCAATGTGTAGTAATGTAACGTGTGGTAATGCAACGCGTGGTAATCCTACGCGTAGTAATCCAATGCATAGTAATCCAATGCGTACTAATACAGCGTGTGGATATCCAACGCGTAGTAATCTAGCGCGTGCATATTCTACACGCAGAAATCCAACGCGTAATTATGCAACGCGTGGTAATTCTAAGCGTAGTAATCTATCGCGTAGTAATCCAGCATGTGGATATTCAGCGCGTACTAATCTAACGCGTGGATATTCGACGCGTAGTAATTCAACGCGTAATAATACAACGCGTGATAATTCTAAGTGTAGGAATCTAATGCGTGGTAATCTATCGCGTAGTAATCCAGCATGTGGATATTCAACGCGT